TTTATTTAACCTTTGTAGCAGTCTTGTGTGATAAGTCACATATTGTACCCATTTTACAGATGGCAACAGATGCCCAGTTTCCATTGTTTCTACAGCCTGAATTTTATTTCGTGTCCTCCGCTGCCAGTAAAGTGTATAAGTTCCTCAATAACAGCTTTGGCAGATTAGGAGAGGACCACAGTGTGGGAGTAAGCTGAATGTGAGCAGAACTTTGTCCAAGGTCTTTGGGGAAAAGATTCCCTGTGTTCTGAGGGACAGTGTAAAAATACTGTAGGAGCATGTTAGATATGTGAAAATTCTTTGCCTAGAGTGACTCAGCCCCTGCTCATTTCTTGATGCAAGAGAAGACATTATATTAGTTAATATGAAATCATCTTGTTTTGACTATATCCAAAAATAGCCAAGGAAAAAAATTATCTTCACTAATAAAGTACAGCAGATATGAAACTTTCACGCTTGGGGGAACACAAATGATCTTATTATCTTGAGCGTCTTTATGGTTACCATAAAAATTCATCTTCATCTGAGTTTCAGGCAAAATATGAAACAGTAGTATTTTTTACCTTGTATTTCACCCTGTCTCCAGGCCCTGAAAGCCAGCAGTTCCCTCAAAGCCAAAGAACTGCTCCAGAATAAGCACAATGGAATGTGAAAGACACAACTGAGAAGCCCAGCACCCTCCTCGGTCAAGTGTAGCCTCCACTGCTTTGGCCTAGAATGACCTTGTAAAGCAGTTATCATTCAGATAAACTGACCAGAAGGCAAGCATTTGGCTTCATCCAAGGTCAAAGGCTAGTAAAAGCCAAGGCCCCTCTGACTCCCAAACCAGTGCTCTTTCCAGCATACCAAGCACTTAAAAAAGGGAGCGAGACACCACCAGCACAATTCCTGCATCTCCCTCCACTACAGCCCTAATTGTAGCAGCCTCATGAAGGGAGTCACTACTTAAGAATGCTATTTAACAGTGGCAAACAGGCTATATCTCTACAGGATTTCAGGTGCAGTGCC